GGCAAGCCACTCCCACCCGGTCACATAGGTGGCAAGCCACTCCCACAAATGAGGCCACACCCACAGAGTAGGTTCGAACAATTTTTTAAACCCACCACTGGATTGGATCATGTGATGGACATGTGGGTGCTGGACTTTCATTTGTGTGGGGAAAACCTGGAAGTTTTCAGAGTCAGGTTTTCCCAGAGATGCCAATATGACATCTCTTTTTGTGGTTAGGGTTTTGATTTTAAACCCCTATGTTAATCTCATTACAGGACACGCTCTTCTGAGGAGGGGGAGGCCTGTCAGGTCTGGGAGCCATCTTTTGCCTTGGGACTTCCAGCCTGCCACATTCAATGCTGTGGGGAAATGGGAGGAGGGGCGATTATATGGAGTATGGGAGATATATAGCCATAACAATATTCCTTTCTCAGAGCGTCAAGGACATCTTGCCCTGCACCTGGAGTGGTGTGACTGGGAGGCATCTCCAGTTGGGACGGTGCCTGACTGGACCATGTGACGGACATGTGGGTGCTGGGCAGGGGCTTGTACTTTTGTTTGGGTGGGGAGAACCTGGAAGCTTTCAGATTCGGCTTTTCCCAGATGTGCCAATATGACATGTCTAATGGGACTTTGAGGAAATTCAAGCCTTGGAGTCTTTTTTCATAGGGGGTCTTACTTGGAACCCTGATGCGGTGATTCGCTTAACAACGGTGGCAAGAAAGGTCTTAAAGTGGGGTAAAACTCACTTAAGAAATGTCTCACTTAACAACAGAAATGTTGGGTTCAACTGTGGTTGTATGCTGAGGACCACCTGCAATTTATTATGATGAACCGCTCCGCTGCTTCATATGGAAATGCCACCACATCAAAATAGAAATTCAGAACGATGCTTTGCTTTCAGCGAAGAACTAAACTCTCAGCCGGGACAACTGCATAAGCTTTGCAATACCAAATGTTCGCACACTCACCTGCAGAGCTCAGAGGTTTTCCTGAGGTGAAACTGACCAGTGGGAAACCGGGGTGAAGGGAAAGGGTCAGAAAAAGACCACTGAAACCTTTCCAACACTGATCGAGAGTTTTATTGTCCTTTTTTTAAAACAATAAAAACGAAGAGCTGAGTTCTGAGCAAAACTGAACCACAAAGAGAGTCTGTATTTTTCTTTCCCCCTTCCAAAGTTTAAACAGCACTGAAAAGTAAGGCTTTGCAAAGGGGTATATCAAAATAAATTATCTTCACTTAAACACTGTCCAGTTTTATTACACAGTATTCACCTTTAAACGTCCTAAAAACCTAGCAGTGAAAGAAATTCTGTTTTGTTTCTGTTTTGTTTTTTTCCCGTTAATACTGGGCTCCTTTCTGGATACGGGGGATAGTCCTGAAACACTTAAAAATTGCTTGCCTTGCGTTGTAAACATATTTATGGAGCCAAAAACCTAAGAAGCTTCCGACAGAGTTACTATCAATTTAGGGATTTGACCACTGCTGGAACGTACTTAACTCCATATCAAATAGCCCTCAAGTCTTTTAAGCCTGCACATCTTATCAAGCTAACGTTATTGCAAAATGTACACTTAAAAAAATAGATTTTTGCGTGCTACCTCGCCTATCCTAAGGAAAGGCCGTCATCTGAACGTCAGCAAGGGAGTTCTCTGCCATTTAACTCCAAGTTGAATTTGCTTTGCTTTGCCCTGCTTGCTGCGCTGAAATGCTGCACTAAAAGGCAGCTGGCATCTTCCTCGCAACTGGGTTTTCTAATGGTAGCCTCAGTTAAAGATTGAATTTTCTCGCCAGCCTCTCAAGGAAAGCAACCCAGAGACGATTCAAAACTTTCCACGCGAGCAAAGAGGGGGGAAGTTTGAATGTCTGGCTTTGAGTTGCTGGGAAACTGCGGCAAAACTTTTGCTCCTATGCAACTCCTGCAGATTAACATGCGCTGCTTCCTTGCCCTAAACTGTCGAAATGTCACCTTTACCCAAACAATGCTGCATACGCTTGGGATGGGGTGGAAATAGCAGGCATGTTTGCTTACAGAAGAGAGGAAGAGGAGAGGAAGAGGGGAAGAGGAAGAGGAGGAGGAGGAGAAGGAGAAAGAGAAAGAGAAGGAGGAGGAGGAAAAAGAAGGCGAAGGAGGAGAAGGAGGAGAAAAAAGAGGAGGAGGAGAGGAGGAGAAAGAGGAGGAGAGGAGATGGAGGAGGAGAGGAGGAGGAGAAGAAGGAGAAGTAGAGGAGGAGAAGTAGAGGAGAAGGAGGAGGAGAAGGAGGGGAATGAAAGGAACAGGAGAATGGAATGACAATTTCTTTTTTAAAAAAATAACCCTTCACTTCTCACTTATTCTACTCCTCCTGAAAAAACCTTCATGGGGAAGTCATATCGGCAAGGGACACTTTCACGCACACTGTCCACAAGCACATGTCCTCCCCCTGTTCCTCCTCCCCCTCTGGCAACACACAGTAAGCTTGGAAAGTTGTCCCTTGGGTCACGAAGAGGGGTGGGTGGCTGGGTGGACAAATTAGGCACCCCCTAAAAAAAAAAATAAAGATAGGAAAAACTCAACCTGGAAAAAAAACCCAATCAACCCAAGAGAAAAGGTGAATTGGTCAGCCGTCCAAACACTTATGAGCGATCACATGCTTTTTTTTTTTTTCTTTTTTTTTTTGAGAGCGGAGAGGCGACCCAACCTGATCCCTGCTTCTCAGAGCTGCGGGTTTTTTTCTGAGCTCGGAGGAGATCCCAGCGAGGAGACCGCGGGACAACATCGAGGTTTGCGTGTGGGGGAAGGAACGGCGGACTAGAAGCGTTAGGAGGATGGATGCTGTTTCTGTAACCTTCGCTCAGCTGCGGCGGCCAACATCCTGCGTCGTAATGTGATGGAGTCGGAGGCTGGGCCTTCCACCTGGGAGGAAAAGTCCGGTGTGGAATCATCGAAGCTTTTGTTAAGGTAGCGCCTGGAAAAACAGGAATAGAATAGAATTCTTTATTGGCCAAGTGGATAGGACAGGACAGGTCAGGACAGGACAGAATAGAATTCTTTATTGGCCAAGTGGATAGGATAGGATAGGATAGGATAGGATAGGATAGGATAGGATAGGATAGGATAGGATAGGATAGGATAGGACAGGACA